ACAAAAGAAGTGCACGCAACAAGGAGATACTGTATGCATAAAAGAAACAATAAAGAAATTGAAAACAGAAAAAAGATAAATAGGAAACAGAATATTCTATAGAAAACTGGTTCTATTACTTGTAACTGTAGCAGCTAACAAATAGAGTTGTGTGTTTTTTTAAAATATGCTACAGTGTACTTTTAGTCATCTTTAGTCTTGAATCTATAGTTGAATCAGAAAATAATGGATGTATTCAGTCTGCTATATATTCTATCATTTATTCTGTGCACCGTCTCTTTCAGAGGCAATATTCCGTCAAACTTATTTCCATGTTGGCAGCTGCCTGTGGCAGCTGGCTCTGGTTTGTAGGGCTCAGGCTAAGGGGCTGTTTAATTGCTGTGTAGATGCTTGGGCTGGAGCCCAGGCTCTCGGGTCCTGTAGGGGCCCGAATACAAACATTTACACCGCAATTAAACAGACCCTTAGTTCAAACCCCATGAGTTCAAATTCCATCTGCAATTTAAAGTAGAATATCTTTTGCACATAATGTTGTTGCTTTCCATTTTTGCTGATGGATGCTTACCTTTGATATATTACTGAAATCACAAAACGCAAAAACTGTGGGCAATCTTGGCATTACAATAATAGATGCATATCCTGTTCTATTAAATAATATTATTTCATTATGTTTTTATGTATAGATAGGACCAAAATATATTGCCAATATCACATTTAATATTTAATTTTATTACAGATGCAACAACTATCACTATTTTTAATTCACATTGTTTTACTTTAGGTGTCAGTCAATGTAAAGAGTGAAAAACTTGTATTCTATGAATTTTTAGCCTCCTTCGCAGACACATGGGCAGGGTCCTTGTGATTCTGCAACCCAAGAATTTGCCATGCAATTTGCTGCAAAACTGCGCTTCAAAATCTATGGCCATGTCCATACTACAGGGATTATAGCATCATAACAACAGTGCTGTAGCTATGATGGCATAACCCCATAGCATAGACGCAGCCTACAGCAATAGAAGGGATTTTTCTGTTGGAACACCACCTACCCAAGCGATGGTAGCTAGGTGGATTGAAGGATTTTTGGAGCTGTGTCTACACCAGGGGTTAAACCAGCATAGCTACAGTGCTCAGCGGTGTAGATTTTTCATACCCCTGAGCACGATACCTACGTCAAACTAAATTTTAAATCTAGATGAGGCCTAACCTTTCGTTTAAACAAAAAATGGTGGTCCTGTCGCACCACTGCATTACTTCAGTTTTAACACTGGTTTAACTCCACAGATTTCAGTGAAGTAAAGCTGGGGTAACACAGTGGTGAATCAGGACATATGTTTTTAGCCTTCTGGATTGCAAAGAAAGCCTTGAAAATGTGTCTGCACTACATAGCTTATGTTGGCATAGCTAGTGCTAATAGTGCCTCTAAGGTAGACGGAGCCTTTATCAACAGAAGGCATTTTTGTGTTGGTGTAGATACACCACCTTTCTGAACAACATTATCTACATCAGTAGAAGTACTCTTGGGTCAACACAGCTAAGTCTACTCTGGGGTTTTTGCCGGTGTAGCCATGTTGGTCAGGGTTATGTTTTGTTCACATGCCTGATCAATGTAGCTATGCTGATATAACTTATAAAGCCTGGTCTATACTAAAAAGTTAGGTCAACTCTGCTACATCACTCAGTGTGTGAAAAATCCACACCCTTGAGCAATGCGGTTACATTGACCTAACCCCTGGTGTAGACAGCTGTAGGTCAACAGAAGAATTCTTCCAAAGACCTAGCTATTGCCTGTTGGGGAGGCTGATTATCTGTGCCAACAGAGGAGAACGCATCTCGTCGACATAGGTAATGTCTACAGTACTGATGTACTATAGTTGTGCAGCTGCAGCTGTGTCTCTGTAGCGTTTCAAGTGTAGACAAGCCCTAAGTGTAGACCACACCTGAGGGTACACTGTTGCAATCGAGTTTTTCTGAATATGCAGACAGCCTGAAACAATAGTTCTAAAAGGTGTGAATTGCCCCACTCATCTCAGTAGGTTGTGAATAATGTTGACATTTACAATGTTACCTTGTCTCATACCTGTCCCATACCTGGCTGCCAAAACCTGCCATTTCACCCTGACATCTTCTGTCATGCAGTTGGGCAATATCAATACAAAAATCTGCAGTATATTGAAGACTGAAAGTGTGAGTGAGGACAGTGTAAAATAAACTTTTTGTTATCAAAGTAAATAACAAAGAGGTCTCTATGCTGCTTGTAATATTCATTTTTGTATTTAATTCAGCAAAACAATTATATTTTTTAGTTTATAGGAAACTGCCACAGAAACCAGAGACGTTGCCACAGAATTAAATTCCACCTTGCCATAGAGCACTGGGGCCTAGCATGTGGGATCTGATTCTCCACTGCATTGTAATATGTGTAGTCATTTACAGCCATGCAAAGTGGGTGTAAAATTCTACTTACTATTCTGATTTAGCACTGGTGTAATGACTACACACGTACAAGACAGTGGAGAAAAAAGCCCATCCTGTATGTCCATACAGCCTTTCTGGAAACCCATCCAGGTTTTTACTTCAGTGGGGTGGGATATGTGAAACAGAGAGTAGAATTCAACCCATTGTATTTAAGGTCTCTTTCTATTTCAGTGACGCTCAAACTGGGAGATAGACTCACTCTAGTACAGCACCATAGGACCTGGATACTAAACATGAACTACAATATATTTTTGAAGGAAAGAGAACTGAAAATGATGACTGAAAAGACATAGGCCAATTATGCAGCAGTGGACATCTAAATTTATTGTACTTCCTCCTCTGACATTTTGATAAATGATATTTACACTCAACATAAATAAGCAAATTAAATACTGTATCTCAGAGCTGAGAGAAAGTCATCAAATTATCATTTTTGAAACAGCCAGTTATGGATATGACTCTCTGAGATAAAGTCTGCTCTCAGTTACACTCATGTAACACTACTGAAGTCTTTAGGGTTGTATGTGTGAGTCCCTTGTCCCATATACATAGATAAATCCATATGGAGTAGTAAGTTGTCTTTCTGCATACTGGCAAATGTGATTAAGGGAATTAATAGTTTGTTTGTATGTTTTATTTACAGTTTATTCAAATGCTTTATAATCTGAAAATGTATAAATGTCTTAACTACTGTTTAATTATAGACCTAGCTAATACCCTTAAAGTTGAGCTTTATTACCTAAGCTCCAGAGTAGTGTACAATCTGGGGCAAGAAATATTTTCTTCTGCCTATCTAGCCTGAAGTGTCACCTACCTGACTGGCCCCATATAGGTGAGCTTACACAAAACATCAGGGGCACAGGAAGAGGACCTCCCTCATAAACTTTAGCCCAGTGGTTAGGGTACCCACCTGGGAAGTTAGAAACCCCCAGTTCAAGTCTCCCCTCCACCTGAGGGGGAGAAAGGATCTGAACTATGTCTGCTGCCCCTAAGGTGAGTGCCCTAACCACTTGGGCTATGAGATATTCTGGTGTTGGGCTGCTTGAGTCTATCTACTGTTAAAGCTGTTCCACTGTGACTAAATAATGCAAGAATTATTGAGAGAGAGAATGACTATGTCGCCTGATGGTTAGAGCACTCAGCTGGGAGACCCAAGATCCAGTTCTCCTGCTCCATTTATTTTATGCATTATCCACAGTGGAACAGCTTTAACAGGAGAGACCAAGGGTATGTCTATATTACAGGTGCTATAGCAGCACAGTTGCAATGCTGCAGCTATGCCACTGTAGTTTAGACACTTGCTACAGCAGCAGAAGAGGTTTTTCTGTCACTGTAGTAAATGCATCCCCACTAGAGGTGATAGTTATGTTGAGGGAAGAATTCTTCCATCGACCAAGGGGTGTCTACACTGAGGCTTAAGTCAGCTTAACTACACTCAGGGGTGTGAAAACACCACATCTTTCTAATTTCTCTTGGGGTGCTGGACCCACACTCCGCCCCAGGCCCTGCCCCCACTCCACTCCTTCCCCCAAGGCCTCACCCCACCCTGCCTCTTCCTGCCCCTTCTCCATCCCTGCCCCTGTTCTTCCCACCTCATTCTGCCCCCTTCCCCAAGCTCATCCCACCTTTGCTCCATCCCCCTCCCCCAGGGCCTCCTGCAGGCTACTGAACAGCTGATCTGTGGTGGGCGGGTGGCACTGGGAGGGAGGGAGAGAAGCTGATTGGTGAGGCCACTACACCCATAATTTTTTCTCATGGGTTCTCCAGCTCCGGAGCACCCACGGAGTCAGCGCCTATGGTGAAATAGCTAAGTTGACCTAACTTTTAGGTGTAGGACAGGCCTGATGGAGCCCCATGTTAAAATATCCCATAACCAAGTGGTAGGGGACTCATCTGAAAGGTGGTAGATCCCAGCTCCAATCCCTTTTCCCCATCATGTGGAGAAGGGACTTGAACTGTGGGAATCTTTTACATCCCAGGTGAGTGCCCTAACCACTGGACTGAAAGTTATCTGGAGCTCCTCCTCTCCCTATCCACCCTCCCCCCACAAAGAGAGAAATTTCCAAGCAGAGGGTGATGTCTTCCTGAAGCCCACACTTACCTCCAAGAGAGGGATGGGTCTTTGGATACACTCCTTGGCTTGGCACCTCCTATTGGCTAGCTTAGGTGAGGACTTGCCTAATGTGCTGGCTTTTGTAAACCCCATTGAAAGGTGCCTGTCTCTCCCTATTCGTTGTATACAGAGTCAAGGTGCTGAACTCAAGCTTTGTGAATCCCGGTAATTTTTCTAGGTAACACAAGTTAGGCATGGCAACACTCAGGTCACCACTCCTAAATTCCTTTGTGATTCTAGCCCATTCTATATATATTCCTCCAAGTAGAAAAAACCTTTGGGTTATTAGAATTCAAAATCCACTGGCGGGGATAAAGATTGGAGGAGAAGGAGATGGGATCAAAATTCTTGTCAGGTTGTTTATTCTGTACCATACTGTAAATATAAACAATTGATCATTTACTTCCAGGAGTATCAACCTTGTAACACCAATCCCTGTCCAGAGCTGAAAAAGACCACCCCCTGGACTCCTTGGACTCCGGTCAATATCTCAGACAATGGTGGCCACTATGAACAACGATTCCGATACACTTGCAAGGCACGCTTACCTGATCCAAATTTGCTAGAGGTGGGAAGACAAAGGATTGAAATGCGTTACTGTTCCAGTGATGGTACCAGCGGTTGCTCAACAGATGGTAAGCAGAGATAGTACAAGTGAATAATAGCACCTAGCAGACAATGGTATAACACAATCAAGTGGCTGGAAGTTGAATTCAGGCTGGAATTAAGGTGTATGTTTTTAACAGTGAGATTAATCAGGAATTGGAACAATTTACCAAGTGTTGTGGTGAATTTTCCATCATTGTTAATTTTTCAATCAAGATTACACAGGATTGTTTATAGATATGCTTTAGTTCAAACAGGAATTAATTCAGAGTAATCCTATGGGTTGTGTTTTATAGGAGGTCAGACAAGATGATCACACTGGTCATTTCTGGTCTTGGAATCTATGAACCTGCTAGAGAGACGGCTGTAGTTCCATTTTCATGACAGATTGAAGCTTTTTATCTTGCTGGTGTTTTTCATAATGTTACAGAGTTTAAGGCCAGAAGGGACCACTGGATCATCTAATCTGACCTCCTGTATATCAGAGGTCACCAGCACTACCCAGTATCTACACACTAAACCCAACAACTGAAATTAGACCAAAGTATTACAGCCCACTGGAGGCTAGACTATTATGTGCCACAGGCAGAGAACAGTAGGACCAAGATGTCCCCGCCCCGTGCCTGGAACCCCCACAAAGGCAGGAATATGTTTAAGTGAGATATACCCAGATATTCATGGCAAGTGACCCACACCCATATGCTGCTGAAGAAGTTCAATGCCCCCTTTCCCCTCCACCTCTCCCCCGGTCACTGTGAATCTTACCTGGGGGGAAATTCCTTGCTAACCCCACATAGGACAATAAGATAGATCCTGATCACCTGGGCAAAAACCAGACAGCCAAACACTTGTGAGAGAGAATGCTCAGTGTCACCTCAGAGTTCCAGTCCACCCCACCCAATGTCCCATCTCCAGCTGTGACCATACTGATGCTTCAGAGGAAGGAGATTAAAAAAAAAAAGCCCAGAAAACATTTTGCGGGTGATCCCTTCCTGACACCTGTAGGTAGTTGGCCAAAGCCCTGAAGCATGAGGTTTTAGGAACATAGGACATAAACCAGAAGAGGGCCCCATGCGGTTGAGCCCTTCATTTAGCCTCACAAACAACACCATCATACAGTCTCACTCATAAATTTGTCCAGCTCATTTCAGAAATGTTAATGAAAAGAAGGTAATTGATCACAACAGGTAAATTAGTTTCTGTTTTTTCAGGACTGGACTTAATCTCTTAGGGTAACCCAGTATTTTTCCCCTCTGGCTGGCTGTAGGACTTGTTGGTGTTTGTCGGATGTTCTTTCTAATAATTAACCCATCACAGTGATAGCCATGAAACTGTAGAATAATTTTTGAGATTGCTCTGTCATCTCTTTCCTTCTGCTATCTTTTTTTGGGAGAGATTCTGACAAATTCTGCTTTTATTTTATAAATATTTGGCTAGACTATAACACTGATGATGAATGGAGCTTTTTACTGAATAATTAAAGAGCAATAGTTGTCTGCATGATTATGACAATTAACTAAATAGATAATTTATGAAGTGGATAACTTCTGTTATTAATGTTTTATAGCATTGAGCTATCACCAGTATTTAAAGTTCTGTTTCCTACTACAAAGGAAAAATGACCTCCTCCAATGCTATTTTAGCTACAGATGCATTTTACATACAGAATTAATTCATACTAAATTATTTTTTTGCTTACCAGTAGCACTTAGTTATGAATAAACAATGTACCAAAATATATTTATTGTTCACTGGTATTCAGTGAACCCTAATTTTAAATGATTAGTTATGAGATTCTTAATTTCATTATTATTTATTAGTACTTATAAGAATACTTTCTACTTACATAGCCTTTTACATCTTTAAAATCTTTTAATGATTTGATTACTACAACACCCTTGTAAGATAAATAAGCATTAATAACTACAGTGAGTAAAAAAGTATTATCTGCATTGAATAGTTGATTGCAGTATTGTTATAACCCTTGGTCCCAGGATATGAGACAGACAATGCAGGTGAGGTAATATCTTTTTTTGAATCAACTTCTGTTGGTAGAAGGTTCGAGGTTCTAGGAGCTCATTACAACAATTTGTGACACACCCTACTGTCTTCTAACCCCTCATTGTCTGCTTCATTTTAAATGATCCTCTACAGCATGCATAAACCCCTTATGCTTAACAATTTGCCTCACCTTTTATTTAGCTTGGACACTCTGTGTACCTTCTCCAGGCCCGAGGAAGAGCTCTCTGAAGCTCAAAAGCTTGTCCGTTCCACCAGCAGAAGATGGTCCAATAAAAGATATTACCTCACCCACCTTGTCTCTTTTGAACAGTTTAGGCATCGTGAAGTTTGATGACTCATGCAATGTCACAAAAGAGTAAGGGTCTGTGCTGAGATGCGTACTTGGGTCTGGAGTTCCTGGTTCCCAATCCTTTGCTCAGACAGCTAAACCAATGGTAGATCTTTGAAACCTCAGGTGAAGCCTAACTAAGAACATGTGGCTTCCTTGATAACTCAGATCATCTTTGCCTCCTTGAAAGAAGGCAAGATGTCAGATTACCTAAAAAAAACCCTATAGACTATAGAAGTCCAGTTGACCCTGAATAATGTCCTTAATGCCACCATCAGTTATCATCTGGTCTCCAGCTCTCTCTTGCATCCAAGCTCTCTCAGCATCTGTCCTCTGCCATCATGCAGTTTTCATCACAGGTTTCAGACCAGCATACAGCAGAGAAATGGCTCTGCTGGTGCTTATGCAGCCATCACCTTTTCCAGGCCCTAGACAAATATACATGTCTTTGTGCTGAAACTGCTAGATAACTCTGCAGCCTTCAACACTGTTGATCATCCATTGTTGATGCCACATGTGAAATCTCACGAGGTTAAATCAAATAGTACTATGTTGGATCTGCTTATTCATACTAGACATAACACAGAGAGCATAACTTGGTCCTTGTCATCCAAGTCCTATGCTGCATTGTCCTCCACGCCCAATACTCTCTGTTCTTCTTCATTGTCTGCATGAGATCATCTTGACAGACTGTGATACACCACTGACTAAGGGGACTGGTATGAGGAGGGCACTTAGCTGTACATCTCCTTTTAAAGCGATTCCCAGTATTTCCCAACAATTGGAAGAAATCATCAGGTGAATGAAAAGCATATGTTTCGAGCACAGTCCAGGGAAGATGGAAGTGTTAGTTAAGATGCGGAGGAGCACTTTGAAGAATTTACCAGTGTATTTGGACCTATGAAGAGCATCAAACCACTGTCAGGGTGGTGAGGAACCTTGAGGTTTCCGCTAGTCCCCTCACAACATCTGGACTAATGGCAAAAAACACATATTTCACCTTCACCTGACCAGGAGATGTTGATGGGAACTTAGCCACTGTGATCCATGCTTTTGATCACCTCCCGACTGAAATCTACCTGCTTTGGACATAAGCACTACAAAAGGATAGATGCTGGTACAGCATGCTTGGCATGCCTCGTAAGCAACAATGGCTGCTACAAACACATTTCACCTGCTTTTATTAGCTTGTCTAGTTTTCCATTCACTTCAGAGGAGAGTTCAAAGTCCTGGCCATAACTCAAAAGGTACCTAATGGATCAAGATAGAGTTACATCAGAGACTCTCTTACCACCACCTGTAATCACCATGACCATAACCCCAGCTATGGAACATTTTGCCAGAAGAGACCAGACTAAACCCAATCTTAATATTAAGCAACCAGGGTAAAACACACCTTTTCCATAAAACCTTCCCCCAGTATCAATGTTGTTAACCACCCAAACAAAAATCCCACTCACATCCTACAAGCTTTTCTGTACTGATGGGTCTAAGAGAAAAACACCTTTTTATTCCCCACCTTGGGCTCTTTAATTTACCACAGAGCTATGCACTATAAGGAAACAAAGAGAGATCTGTAGATAGATGTACAGTTATTTCATGCAACTTCTGGCAGTACAGTCAATCACTGTGTCAGTGCCTGGAAATTACGTCACCTTTGTCTCTTCCTTTAATTTGTGTGTACTAATGAAGGGAGAATTGTTGATATTGCTCTCTTGTGATTATATAATGCTTCTTAGCACCACCTGTTATGTGGAAGCTTGCTCACTACTTTTAATCATTGCATAAAATTAGGGCGAAAATTATCGGAAACAAACACGTCAGTCATTTCAGTAAGAGAGTCTCTGGGAAACATTTAATTTCTGTATATCCCCCAAATCTGTTAATATTTCTAAAGTTACAGGAACAAACATCCCTGGAAGCCTGCTACTGCTTGCTTTAACCGTAACCTCAAAAAAATAATTATTTCTAAAGAAAAGATGTAATTTAGCCTTAATACTAATTTAGACTTGTCTCTCATGAGGAGAGACTGATTAAATAATAGTATTAGCCATGGAAGAGTGCCAGAGGATATCAACACCTTTTTTATTTTTAACTAAAGTCTGAATGTGAGAATGTCCTACCTCCAGGAGGAATAAAAGATGAAATGTTATATCTTTGGCTGTCTTATCAAAGCTAAGCTACGTTGCATCATGATAAGAAGAAAATTACTTTTTAAAGCTGTGAATGTTTGACTTTAATATAATAAATACCCCCTGCCCAAAATATTAGTGGAACTTTATGGTTATTTTTTTAAAAATAGAAAAAAGACAGAGAAATTAAAAAAACAAGGTTTTCATAATAATGTTAACTTTTTCTCATTGCACATTACCTGATTTGTCATTACATATGTAATCTTAAAATTGCTTTAATATTTGCCTTGCATATTATTGTTTAAATTAGCCTACTTAGGCTGTGAAGTTCACACCTAACTGATTAACATGTTCCTGGGGAGTAGCGTGTTCAACTTGCTCAGGTGACTATAGGTGGAAAAGGGTGAGTTTGATGATGTTCTTAATGAATTTTGTTTACTTACATCCAAGCAGAAATTAACCACCGAAAAAAGACATACACTGTTGCACTTTGAAGGATTTTCTTGACAGTAGGTTAGAAAATAATGACTGTGTGGAGAATCAAGTA